CCCCGGGGCTCTTGCACAGTCTCCTACTGGGCTTTTATAGTGAGACTGTAACGTAGAATCCTTAAATCGACCTTAAATTTTTCAAATGGCAGAAGAAATCAAAGGAAACCCAATTTAATATTTACACATTTAACGTGTTGTCTTTCCAGTAGTAGCCTTTTCGCTATGCTCTTACTTCAAAGAGACTGGACGATATTCGCTTTAATCGGAAGCGCGTTATACCGAAAGTGACCTCCCATTAGTCGAAAAAAACCTCTAAAAATATACAGACCAGGATGCTGTATTTTTATGTTTTTTTTTTTTGTTTTCTCTTGTAATTTATAGTTCCTGGGACAGGGGGGAGCCAGCTAGAAGCGAAACTTAACAAGCCATCAACTCTGCACTGGTACTGTCACAAGACCTCGTCGAGCTTCTTCACCTTGTGGTTGCAGAAAAGTTCACTTGTTCCTTTTTCTATCAACTGTTGGGTTGATAACATGAGGTAAAAGCAGATGATTTTCTTAGCTGGTGAATCTGCAATTTCAATCAACTGATTATTCTAGTTTATCTAAAATTTAAGGAGCATTGTATTTGTAAAGCTTATAATTTGCAAGTCAGTTCAATACTTCAAATTCGAGTTCTGGTTTCTCTGTGTTACCCTCAAAACCGGCAAGGGATATTCTTTTGTTTTATTGATAGCCCGAGAAAACATATGGAATTTGAGAAGATGTAAATACGACAGAATTGATTTGAAATCTCACACTTTTATTCTCACAATTAGAATATTTTGGACTAACACAGAGCATTGGAGATTTCGAAACTGGATTATTGCGTAAAACTTCTGCGTTATTTAACCCACTCTCATTATTTCATGGTTTCAGACTTGTATATGACTCAACCACTAATACCCTACACAACTCTCCTGGCGTGACAACCCGTGTTCCAGGGTTTGGCCAAACCAACACCATTGAATACTTGGACACCGACAGCTTGATCAAATACTTTAAACCAATGGTTGATGCCCTTGTTTCGTGGGGCTATCAACGAGGRACGTCTGTGCGTGCAGCTCCTTATGACTTCAGATATGCGCCTGGTGGGTTCAATAACGCTTTTGCGTGGCTAGGAAACAATTTGCGCGAAGTGCCTATTTGCGCGAGTAGAGGAGCCTGTGGTTTTGCACCAAAACGAGGCGAAATCTGGCAAAAACCCAAAAAGTTGTCATTTTTGAGGTTGTTYATCCTTTTGCAATTTAAGAAAATTAATTTTTGATGGTGGGGAAAGTCAAAAATTCGATATTACTTGGCACTCTTGTTCATTTAAGGGGTGAGCATGTTGCCCGAAAAGGTCTATTCTTTGAGTTCAATTCACAAGAATGCAGCACAATTTGCTTTACGAATTTAAAAGTGGATTTTTGATCCTAAGGGAGCATTGATATGGCGTCACATGCTGGAAATATATTCCCGCTTTACTTTATCTCATAGTTGGAATCATGTTATTTAGATTCTGCAGRCGAATACTTCACGAAGTTACGAGACCTGGTCGAAAAGACTTACGAGTTAAACGGCAAAAATCAAATAACGCTGATGTCACACAGTCTTGGATGTCCATATACATTGGCTTTCCTTAATAAACAAACCAACGATTGGAAAAATACCTATATCAAACAATGGATAACGCTGTCAGGTATGATTCCCAATACACGAATTGCTTTTACGGTTCTCTGACACTTCTTGTTTTTCCCGTACTTTATACTATGTAGTTATCCCCCCCCCGAACCTCATCGTAATCCCACAATGTATTCACTGTTGTATTTTCTTGTTTTCAGGAATCTGGGGGGGTTCTGCACAGTTAATGCGCCTTTATGCATCAGGCGATTCCTTTGGAGTCCCTTTGGCCGACCCATTAACCGTTCGCCATGAGCAAMGAACTTGTTCTAGTAATAATTTCATGATGCCTAGTGACGAACTGTGGTCAGCTGATGAGGTTTTAGTCAAGACATCGGTACGCTCTTATACGGTGAAAGATTACGATGCATTTTTTAAAGATATCAACTTCCCTGAGGGTTCATTTGTACGAAGAAATGTMCAAGGTTTGATRTCACCGCTATCCACCCACTCACCAAACGTTACACTTTATTGTCTTTACGGATCTGGTGTTGACACTCCCGAAATGTACTCGTACGGAAACGGTGACTTTCCTGATAAAGAGCCCACCGTAACCAATGGAGATGGAGATGGCACTGTAAACGCGCGAAGTTTAAAGGCATGCATCAATTTTAAGCAAGTTCCTCCAATCACGACCAAGGAATACCCTGGACGAAATCACAATGGTGTTTTRAGTGATGAAAGTGTCCAAAATTATGTCAAAAGTATTCTATTTCCATAAATATAAGAATATTAAATTATGAAAATGTCTCAATTCTTTTACAAAAGGAAAATTTGACAGGGAAGGGGAATTGATTATTTTCAGGATTCATCACTTGATTTCTGGAAAAACCAGAATCAACATTTATGCGGTTTCAGTCACGATAGTGCCAAAAAGGCCACTGACCGGGGATGGGCCGGGTGATACGCGTTACTTCTTTTAACCAATTGTTTGGGCTCCCTGTGTAAAATATAATGAAAGAAACCTGGGTTCGAAACGAACAAAAAACAAAATGGATTTCGACACAGCTGTGTCAGAAATCGGTGAATTTGGTCCTTTTCAGCAAAAGATATTTTATATAACAAATCTTTTAGGATTTCCTATTTGTTCCCAGATGCTTGTAATGGTGTTTGTGGCTGCAAAGCCAACCTGGTCGTGCAGTGCAACYCAAAATACTTGCAATGAAGATGGTTCGATATGCAAGAATGCACAGTTCACTTCGACTTTTACATCGATTGTCAGTGACTGGGGACTTGTTTGTGGACAAGCTTATAAAGTCGAAGCTATTCAGTCAGTGTTCATGTTTGGCACTATGMTTGGAGCGCCATTTTTTGGTAATTTGGCTGATAAATACGGACGKAAACCTGTRTAYATCGTCTGTTACATGGTCGCATGTGTTTTGACCTTCTTGTCAGCATTTGCCACGTCATACAAAGTGTTWATGAGTCTACGTCTTGCTACTGGATTTTTTGTTGGTGGCGGAGTTCTTATTTTATTTGTCCTGACCACTGAAATAGTGGGAGCAAAATATAGAGGTATTCTTGCTAGAGTTAACAACATACTTACAGTACATGCATAGATATGGATCCGGGGGGTATACATGTATTTAGAATACTTTTGTATATTTGATTCAGCCGTTCTGATTAGTTATAACCATAACCATCACATATATTAATGTCAGCTAGAATTTTAAAAGTCACCATAAAACGTTAATCTTCCTCAAAGCTCACTTTGTTTAAATTCTGTTTGCTTTATATTTATGAAATATTGATTCCTGAAAGTTTGTAAACAATCCATGAAAAAAATAAAAAGGAAATAGAGTTGATTGAAAATGATGAGCAAGGATGACTAAAAAGAAAATAGCAAAATGAAATGGACATCTCTCACAACTACATATACAATATTAATTCTTTCACTTTTTCTTTAACCTTGAACAGGTCTTGTGGGAACAATCCAAATGACATTCTTCTCATTTTTCCTTATTGCTCTTGGCTTGTTAGCATATATGATCCAAGACTGGCGCTATACTATGATTGCTACAGTAGTGATTGCTCCATTTCAGCTATTTCTTTTCCCTTCTCTACCTGAATCAGCAAGGTGGTTGGCATCACAGGGAAGATACAATGAGGCTGAAGAAATCTTGCACAGAGCTGCAGCTGTTAATAACCCACATCTTAAATCTAAACCACTACTAAACCGTGACCAAAAAAAGACAAGTACGAAAAATAAAAATAGTGGAGTTCTGAGTATTTTCACTCACAGAAATACCTGCAAAAGACTTTTGATCATTTGTATATTGTTTTTTGTTAACAGTTTAGTGTATTATGGATTATCTCTTAATTTGAAAAACCTCGGAGGCAATCTGTATGTAAATTTTGTTCTTGCAGGGGCAGTAGAAATCCCTGCCAATGCAAGTGTTGTATTACTTTTAGCATACTTAGGAAGGAGAAGGGCATTGTTTATTTTCATGATGGGTACTGCATTGACTTGCTTTGTGTGTATGCGCTTACAGGAGTCAGATTCAACAAATTCATACATGATTTCTTGTACGGCAATGATAGGAAAAGGCTTTATCACATCTTCTTTTAGTCTTATATATATCTATGGTTCAGAGCTTTTACCAACAGTGGTTAGAAATGCTGGCCTTGGGGTTGCTAG